CCTGGTCAGGGTTGGCTTGACGAGCCTTCCTCTTGGCACGTTTCTTCCTTTTGCCCTCCAATCGTGCCTCTTCTAATTCTGCAGCACTGCTGGTCACAGCTGACCTCCAGTTAGAGCACTCAAGGGCCAGGGCTTCCCAGTTCTCTGTGACTATGCCACAGTTTTAAAGGTTAGCTCTAAGACTACCTTTAAATCTCTTTTCCTGTCCACCAACGCTACGTTTCCCATTCTTGAGTTGGGAGTATAGTAACTGCTTTGGGAGACGGTGATTGGGCATTTGGACAACATGGCCAGTCCAGCGGAGTTGATAGCATAGAAACATCGCTTCAATGCTGGTGGTCTTTGCTTCTTCCAGGATGCTGACATTTCTCCGCCTGTCTTCCGAAGAGATTTGCAGGATTTTTTGGAGGCAACGCCACGTTTTTCAGGCATATAACAGGGTTGGGAGGACAACAGCTTTATAAACAAGTACCTTGGTCTCCCTACGGATGTCCCGATCCTCAAACACTCTCTGCTTCATTCTGCACTCACGGAGCTCCGCTGATGTGGTATCTCAGTGTCAATGTTGACTTTTGTGGAGAGGTGGCTGCCAAGGTAGTGGAAATGGTCAACACTTTCTAATGTTACACCATTAAGCTGCATTTCTGGCATTGCAGAGGGATTGGCTGGTACCTGTTGGAAGAGCACTTTGGTCTTCTCAATGTTCAATGAGAGACTGAGCTTCTCACATGCTTCGGCAAAGGTGTTTAGAGTGGCTTATAGGTCTTCTTCTGAATGCGCACAGACTACGTTATCATCGGCATATTGGAGTTGTTGTGACTTTGGTTTGACTTTCAGTCCGCCGAGATTAAATAACTTGCCATTTGTGTGCTGTGAAAATACAATGGTGCAAGAAGGGTGAATGACAGGGCCACAGGCAAAAGGGTTGGGGACATATTCAGGAGAGGTGTGGCTACAGAAAGGGGGTGGGGTTGCATGCAAAAGGGGGCGCGTCCATAGTGAAAAGGAGTGGGACCCCAAGCAAAAAGGCAGGGACACAGGCAAAACGGGATGGGGCCATATCAAAAGTGGTGGGGCCACAGAAAAAGAGGTGGAGCTGCACATAAAAGGGTCATGAGCAAAATGGGTGTGGCATAGTCAAAAGGGGCTGGGTTACAAGCAATGGGGGTGAGGCCATAACAGAAAGTGGCAGTGCAGGTGAAAGGGGCAGGACCGCAGGTAAAAGGGGTGGGTCTATAGGAAAGGGGGTGGAGTCACAAGAAAAGGGGCAGGACTGCAGGTGAAAGGGGTGGGGCCACAACAAAGGGGTGGGGCCACAGACAAAGGGTGGGTCTATAGAAAAGGGGGTGGAGTCACAAGGGGGCAGGACTGCAGATGAAAGGGGTGGGTCTATAGAAATGGGGTGGAGACAAAAGAAAAGGGGCAGGACTGTAGGTGAAAGAGGTGGGGCCACAGGCAAAGGGGTGGGTCTATAAAAAGGGGGTGGAGTCACAAGAAAATGGGCAGGACTGCTGATGAAAGGGGTGGGACCACAGGCAAAGAGGTGGGTCTATAGGAAAAGGGGGTGGGGTCACAAGAAAAGGGGCAGGACTGCAGGTGAAAGGGGTGGGTCTATAGAAATGGGGTGGAGACACAAGAAAAGGGGCAGGACTGTAGGCGAAGGGGGTGGGGCCACAGGCAAAGGGGTGGGTCTATAGAAATGGAGGTGGAGTCATACAAAAAGGGGCAGGACTTCAGGTTAAAGGGGTGGGGCCATATGGAAATGGGGTGGGACTCCTGACAGTTGCACACATTTCACTGAATTGGGCCATGTAATAATCCAATTAACCCCATTGTTTGCACTATGCTCCAGCCAGAAAGACAACACACGACCTCTTGGGAAGAGGCATGTTGCGTGTGTACAATTGGGCACGAACATGAAACAGATGCTAGGACAGAGTGATTTCCAACTGCATTAATTCTACAGTGTAGATGCACCCCCATTGAGGTCTTTCCTCCCCTTTTGTTGTCACACTTGCAAGTGTTGCAATGGATGAGGTCAGCCTTGGAATCCGCTAATCACTTTCTGCCAGTAAATTAATCAACTCGGATGTGATTAAATCTCGCAAATCCCATCACAGGGCAAACCTGAAAACCCTTTCAGGAGATGCAGCATTTCCGATTAGAAATAGTGTCTGGACAAATGCATTGGAGGAGCAACAAGTCCCAGCTGACTAGGGAGTGAGAAGTCTGGGATTTGTAGTCCAAAAAGTAGCATTTGGATGCGGAGAAAGTGCACGCATTCAGAAGCAGGACGAGTGTCCCGGTGCCTTGTCCAGCATGGCCTTCTGCTTTTGTTTTTCCAGGTGCAGAGTTAATGCAGTTTGACGCCACTTGAACTGCTACGTCTCAATGCTCTGAATCCTGGGAGTTGTGGGTTTATATGGCCTTGAGCCTTCTCTGCCTAAAAGTGTCAAAACTACAAATCCCAAGGTCCCATAGCACAGAGGCCATGGCGGTTAAAATGGTTCCAAACCACATTCCTTCTACAAGGCCCTGGTCTGGATTATCTGGAGATTCCATCCCTTTATAGCAGGCATGGGCCAACTTGGGCCTTGCAGGTGTTTTGGACTTCAACTCCCATCATTCTTAACAGCCTCAGGCCCTTTCCTTAACAGGAATGATGGGAGTTGAAGTCCAAAACACCTGCAGGGCCCAAGTTGGCCCATGCCTGCTTCATAGGATTGGATGGAGGCCTTGCAAAGGAAGTGGAGCAATCCTTTTTTGGTCCCTATCAACGTGTGCGGCCTTCTGCAGATCTTGGGCAATGGTTGACACATCCGAATGACATGTGTGGCTCCCGGGGCTGAGTCAATGTGAAAAAGAATGTTTGGATGATTAAAAAGGTGTTTGATCATAGATGATCTCAGAAGGTGTGGTCCTCTTTGGAAGTTTGCAGAGCTTGGGAGAGTCATATGGGGTGTATCTACACTGCGGAATTAATCCAGTTTGATTCCATTTTAGCTTCCAAGGCTTGGACAAGGCTTTTAGCCTCCTCTGGCCAAGAGACATAAAATAATAACTAATAATGAAATAAAATAAATAATAAATCACTATAATAAAATAATAAAATTGAATCATCATCATCATAATCTACACATCCTGGAATTCCTACTAGCTGTTAGGAATTGTGGGAGCTGAAGTCCAAAACGTCTGGAGGGCCAAAGTTGGGCTCAAGGTGTAGTTGTACAAGGCCTTTAGCCTTCTCTGCCCAAGAGAATAAATAATAATAAATAATAATGAAATAAAATAAAGAATAAAATACTATAATAATATGATCATAGATGATCTCAGAAAGTGAGATCCTCTTTGGAAGTTAGCAGAATTTGGGGGAGCTGCGAGAAGGTGCATCTACACTGCGGAAATAATGCAGTTTGATTCCGCTTTAGCTTCCAAGGCTTGGACAAGGCTTTTAGCCTTCTCTGCCCAAGAGGCATAAATAATAATAAATAATAATGAAATAACATAAATAATAAAAATACTATAATAAAATATAATAATAATATGATCATAGATTATCTCAGAAGGTGAGATCCTCTTTGGAAGTTTGCAGAACATGTGGGGTGTATATCTACACTGCGGAATTAATGCAGTTTGACTCCACTTTAGCTTCCAAGGGTTGGACAAGACCTTTAGCCTTTGTTGCCCAAGATACATAAATAATAATAAATAATAATGAAATAAAATAAATAATAAAAATACTATAATACTATAATAAAATGTAATAATAGGATCATAGATGATATCAGAAGGTGAGATCCTCTTTAGAAGTTTGCGGAGCTGGGAAAGCCATGTGAGGTGTGTATCTACACTATGGAATTAATACAGTTTGACTCCACTTTAGCTTTCAAAGCTTGGACAAGGTCTTTAGCTTTCTCTGCCCAAGAGGGAAAAAAAATAACAATAATAATAATAAAATATTATAATAAAATATAATAATAATAATAATAACCATCATCATCATCATCATCATCATCTACAATCCTAGAATTCCTACCAGCTGTTAGGAATGGTGGGAGTTGAAGTCAAAAACATCTGGAGGGCCAAACTTTGGCTCAAGGTGTAGTTGTATAAGGCCTTCTCTACTCAAGAGAATAAATAATAACGAAATAAAATAAATAATAAAATACTATAGTAAAATATAATCATAAAATAATAAATACATACAGAAATAAGGTAAATAATAAAATACTATAATAAAATATAATCATAAAATAATAAATACATAATTAAATAACATAAATAATAAAATACTATATCAAAATATAATCATAAAATAATACATACATAATGAAATAACATCTATATAAATAAAAATATAATGTTCATTTGTGGGGTTAACAGACACGAATACTCCATATGCCCAAATGTGAACACTGGTGGAGTTTGGGGAAAATAGAATCTTGACATTTGGGAGTTGTAGTTGCTGGGATTTATAGTTCACCTTCTATCACAGAGCATTCTGAAACCCACCAACGATAGAATTGTTGAACCCCCATATGGGCCACAGCAACGCGTCAGCAATCTTGACATTTGGGAGTTGTAGTTGCTGGGATTTATAGTTCACCTACTATCACAGAGCATTCTGAAACCCACCAACGATAGAATTGTTGAACCCCCCATATGGGCCACAGCTACACGTGTCAGGGGCGGCTAGTAAATAATAAAATACTACAATAAAATAAAATAGTAATAGCAACAATAATCATTACTATTTACACATCCTGGAATTCCTACCAGCAGTTAGGAATTGTGGGAATTGAAGTCCAAAACACCTGGAAGGCCAATTTGCCCAGGCCTGTACTAGACTAATATACATGGACCCTAAAGAAAAAGAGGGGAGGGGGAGAGTGAGTGAAAGAGAAGCCCCGCCCCGCTCCCATCCCCGGCCCCTTATTGGCCAAAGATGCCGCGTAGTCCCGCCCACTCCTCCGCCGCGCCCTTATTAGGCGGCGCCCAGCCCCACCCGCGGCAGAAGCCAAGTAGTGTGTGAAGGGAGTGGTTGTGTTTACGCATGCGCAGGAGTTTCCTGGACGGGCGCGCTCGCTCGCTCGTTCGTTTGCTTGCAGAGGAAGACTTGCAAGGAAGGACCCGATCCCAAAGCATCCTGATTTGAGCTCATCCAGGTTTGGGATTCGGCGCCAAAAGCAGGCTTGGGAAGGTTGAGGAGGGTCCCCCTCCGCCGTCGCTTGCTCATCGCTTGACTCTCCGGGAGACCCTCGTTGGGCACAATGGGAAGCCACAGCTCCAAAGCCGCCAAGGGAGGAGACCTCGCCGTGCAGGACGCCGCCGCCGCCGGAGACGCCTCGCCTTCCAAATCCAATGGCCAGGTGGGTTGCACGATCGGGGCCTCCGCGTCGAGGAGACCCATTGCCCCCTATTGACTTACTCTCATGTTGCAACAAGTTGGGTTTCCCAACTGAACTCATCTTTTTTGCAAAGCCTTGTGTTTCCTGACTGGCATGTGGCCCCGATCCGAGGAAACCCATTGGAGCCAAGGCAGTTCGGATGGAAACCGTGATGGTCTCCTTTTGGAGCTCTACACTGGAGTAAATCCGAGGGAATGAATGGGTATACTCGGATCGGGACCAGTAATAAGGCGTAGGCTTTCCAATGAAACTTAAGGCACATCCTGAATGGGTTGTTCTGTTGAGCTCTACACTGGAGTAAATCCGAAGGAATGAATGGGTATACTCGGATCGGGATCAGTAATAAGGCGTAGGCCATCCAGTGGAGTCTAAAGCTCATCCTTAAAGGGTGGTTGCTATTTTGGAGCTCTACACTGGAGTAAATCCGAGGGAATCAATGGGTCTACTCGGATCGGGGCCAGGAATAGGGCGGACACCTTCCAACAAAGCCTAAGGCTCATTGTCTAAGGGGTGCTTATTACTGTGGAGTTCTACACGGGAGGAAATCCGAGGGAATCAATGGGTCTACTCGGATCGGGGCCAAGAATAAGGCGTAGGCTTTCCAATGAAATCTAAGGCGCATCCTGAATGGGTTGTTGCTCTGTTGAGCTCTACACGGGAGTAAATCCTAGGGAATCAATGGGTCTCCTCGGATCGGGGCCAGGAATAGGGCTGAAGTCTGATTCACCCTTAAAGCATTGCTATTTTGGAGCTCTACACTGGAGTAAATCCGAGGGAATCAATGGGTCTCCTCGGATCGGGGCCAATAATTAGGCGTTGGCTTTCCAATGAAACCTAAGGCACATCCTGAAAGTTACTGTTTTGGATCTCTACACTGGAGTCAATTCTAAGGAATCAATGGGTCTCCTCGGATCGGAGCCAATAATGGGGCGGAGGCTTTACAATGAAGCCTAAGGCACATCCTGAATGGGTTATTGGTATTTTTGAACTCTACACTAGAGTAAATCCTAAGGAATCAATGGGTCTCCTCGGATCGGGGCCAGGAATAGGGCGGAGGCCATCCAATGGAGTCTTAAGGCTCATCCTTAAAGGGTTGTTGCTATTGTGGAGATCTACACTGGAGTAAATCCCAGGGAATCAATGGGGCTCCTCGGATCGGGGCCAAGAATAGGGCAGAGGACTTCCAATGAAACAATGTTTTGGAGGTTACACTAGAGTAAAGCCTAGGAAATGAATGGGCCTCCTCGGATCGGGACCAGGAGTAGGGCGGAGGCGCTCCTACACAGGCTTAGGAAGTTAGATCTATTTTGGAACGCTACACTGGAGTAAATCCATTGGTGTCAATGGATCTCCTCGGATCGGGGCCAACAATAGGTGGGAAATTCCCTCCAAACCTTAAAGTTTCGTGTTTTACATAGGGTGGTAGTTTTTTTTTAACGCGTTCCTCTTTTGTCCCGCTTAACTCGACCCGCGTCTCGTGTGAACGCGGACAATCTCCTTTTCCTTTGTTTGCAGGAGACCTCCCCTCCCTTTTGCAGGAGGCAAACAAAGGGATCCCACCCCTCTGCATTGCACCTCTTTGAGAACCCCTCAAATTTTATGATATTTCTCAAAGGCTCAAGTCTCATTTTGGGGAATCCCAATCCCTTTTGATTGGGCTGATCGTGTGAACGATAAGACACGTGTCGGCGCCTCCCAATTGTTCTTCTTTGACTCCTTTTGCAAAGAAAGAACAATCGGGGTTTGCAGATCTTTTTTCAAAATCAAGACCAATGCATTGGATTGGGACCTTATGCGTGGGGTCTGGTGACACACCGTGGGACGTGTTCGCGGTCTCGTCTCGGGTGGTGGGGAGGGCATTATATTAAAATCCCAATTGAATGGCACTATTTGCAAAGATTGTTCAATGCATATTACTTATTTTTTTGCATTAAGTGGAGATAACTCTATAGTCTAATCTCTCCTCTTTTCCCCCCATCAAAAAAAAATATATTATATGCAAAGGACCCCCTTTTTGCGCGCTCCCGCTCCACGCGCGTTCCCTGCGTGCATTGTTTTTTTTTTATTTTTCCCCAGAGCGCGCAAAAGAGAATGGCATTTTCAGGGAACCGCCGCCCCCTGGTGGCGGAAGGAGGCAACAACAGCCTTTCCTCGCCTTTCCCCCCCTTACTTAGAATCATAGAATCAAAGAATTGGAAGAGACCTCATGGGCCATCCAGTCCAACCCCCTACCAAGAAGCAGGAATATTGCATTCAAATCACCCTTACTTAGGCGATCCCTCGTTGGACGAGTAAGATGGTCTTCCTTGATGACTATTTTTGTGGGTTTGTAGGTGACTGTGGAGCCCTATTCTTGACCCGCATCTTCTCCCACAGTGAGGGCATTGGTTTCCAGGTGGAAGGCGGTCCCAGTCGGGGTTGGCTTGACGCGCCTTCCTCCTGGCACGTTTCTCTCTTTCACCCTCCACTCGTGCCTCCTCAAATTCTGCAGCACTGCTGGTCACAGCTGACCTCCAGCTGGAGCGCTCAAGGGCCAGGGCTTCCCAGTTCTCAGTGTCTATGCCAGAGTTTTTAGGTTGGCTTTGAGGCCATCTTTAAATCTCTTTTCCTGTCCACCAACACTCGCCCATGTAAATAAAAGATAAAAGAATAAAAGACCTCACACCTCTGAGGATGCTTGCCATAGATGCAGGCGAAACGTCAGGAGAAATGCCTCTAGAACATGGCCCTATAGCCCGAAAAAACCCACAAGAACCTAGTGATTCCAGCCATGAAAGCCTTCGACAATACATTCCGTTTTCCATTCTTGAGTTCAGAGTAGAGCAACTGCTTTGGGAGACTGTGGTCAGGCATGCGGACAACGTGGCCAGTCCAGTGGAGTTGGTGGCAGAGGACCATCGCTTCAGTGCTGGTGGTCTTTGCTTCTTTCAGCACGCTGACGTTTGTCCGCCTGTCTTCCTAAGAGATTTGCAGGATTTTCCGGAGGCAGCGCTGATAGAATCGTTCCAGGAATTGCATGTGATGTCTGTGGACAGTCCACGTTTCGCAAGCATAGAGCAGGGTTGGGAGGACAATACCTTTTAGACAAGCACCTTGGTATCCCTACGGATGTCCCGGTCCTGGGACTTCTCCAAGATCATGACCATTGGTTATGGAAATTCTGCCCAGCTCTTTTAATGCTTTTGGGTGTACAGTGTTCCCTCACTTATTGCGGGTCTTACGTTCCAGGACCTCCCGCAATAAGTGAAAAACCGCAATGTAGCGACACTATATAAATAAAAATGTAATGTTCCTTTGTGGGACTGACATAACTCAAAAACTACTGGATGAATTGACACGAAATTTGGATGAAATACACCTTTCAGGCCAACGAGTGACCATCACTCATAGAAACACTGAAAAAAACAGCAGAAGAGACTTAGAGGGCTAAAAAACAGAAAATACATTACAATGCATATGCAAAACCAAATATATACACACACATCTATATATATATAAATGTTCTGTGCATAATGAGTTCCGTAAAAACACAAAAGAACCAATGAACGAAATCACACCAAATTTGGCAACAAAACGTGTCTCAACACAAGAAGTGACCATCACTCAAAAAATTATGATTTTGTCATTTGGGAGTTGTAGTTGCTGGGATTTATAGTTCACCTACAATCAAAGAGCATTCTGAACTCCATCAACGATGGAATTGAACCAAACTTGGCACACAGAACTCCCATGACCAACAGAAAATACTGGAAGGGTTTGGTAGGCATGGACCTTGAGTTTGGGAGTTGTAGTTCCCCTACATCCAGAGAGCACTGTGGACTCAAACAATGATGGATCTGGACCACACTTGGCATGAATACTCAACACGCCCAAATATGAACACAGATGGAGTTTGGGGAAAATAGACCTTGACATTTAGGAGTTGTAGTCACTGGGATTCACAGTTCACCTACAATCAAAGAGCATTCTGAACCCCACCAACGACAGAATTGGGGCAAACTTCCCATACAGAACCCCCATGACCAACAGAAAACACTTAAGGCCATCCAATCCAACTCCCTTCACCAGGGCAAGAAAACCTAATCAAAGCCCTCCCGACAAAGAGCCATCCAGCCATAGATAGATAGATAGATATTATTCACACAAACACAGATATAGTATCATAGATTTAAAAGGGACCCCTAAAGAAGGACAATTATATGTCGCATGTTCCAGCACATCAACACTGACAAACAGCAAGGAATATTGTTTATCCACAAGCATAAAGAAATTATATATATCGGAAACCAACACTTTCTCAGAAAGGGGGAAGGAAGAAGAGGAGGGAGAGAAGGAAAGAAAGGTAGAGAAGGAAGGAGAGATGGAAATGAAAGTGAAAAAAGGAAGGAATGAGAGGGAAAGATGGAACCAAAGAGCAAAGGAAGGGAGGAAAGACACAGGTAGAGAAGGAAGAAAGAAGAAGGAAAAGAAAGAAAAGGAGAGAAGGAAGAAATGAGAGAAGGCAATAAGTGAAAGAGGAAGGACCGAGAGAGGGAAGGATGGAACCAAAGAGCAAAGGAAGAGAGGAAAGACACAGGTAGAGAAGGGAGAAGGAAAAGAAAAAGAGGGAAGGAAGGAGAGAAAGAGGGAGGAAAGATTGGCTACAGCAATATGTGGGGGGTACAGCTGGTATTTATTTTAATATTTATACATTACTAGCCGTCCCCTGCGACACGTTGCTGTGACCCAGTGTGTATATATATTTGTGTATATATGTGGTTTTGAGCATGCATTGTAATGTTTTATTTAATTTTTTTGGCTTTTTAAGTCTCTTCCACTGTGTTTTTATGAGTGAGGGCCATTCGTTGGCCTGATAGGTGTATTGTGTCCAAATTTGGTGGTTTTTGAGTTATGTTAATCCTACAAGCGAACATTACATTTTTTATAGTGTTCCTTCACTTGTCGCTGGTGTTACGTTCCAA